CCGTGCCCCCCCCCCCCGCTGGGCCGGGGCCCCCCCAGCCCCTCCACCAGTGACAGACGACGAAACAATTGTGCAAAGAAGCCTCGTGTTGTGTGTGTGGGAGCAGCCGCTGGGGGGGGATCGATGTACGCTGCCAACCCCCCCCCCCAGGGCCGCCCCTGCCCCCGATCCCCCCCCCCCCTCCCCAAACGCAAAGGGGGTGCGGGGGGGGGGGGGGGCACAAACCACAGCCTGGTTTTTAAATTTTGTATTGTGCGTTTGCTTTCTCTCCTATTAAACCGTGTCCAAGGAAGGACGGAGGCACCGGCGCCGCGGCTCGCGCAGGATGCTCCAGCCTGCACCGTGGCCAGCACCGGGATGCGCGGCCCGGCTCACCCGCAGCCTTGTTCTCTCCGTGGGGCCCGTGGCTGTTCTCTGCTTGTTTCCAAGTGCCCGTCCCCTTCCTGCTCCTCCAGTGCTTGGACTTGCCCCAGCCTGGTTTCCCCCTGTGCAATACCCGCATTTAGGGCTGCAGATGCTGAGGTGGGGACAGTGCAGGCGGTGGCAGCTCCAACAACCGCTTCAGCTCCCACCGTGGCTGGTTGCCCGTGTCCTCCATCCCTGGGGTCTCTTCCCTGCTCGCCCTCGGGGCTGGCACACGGAGGGGAGCATCCCGCATCCCTCCGGCCATGCCCACTGCCAGAACAAACAGGCAGCGTTTGCTGCCTTGGCAGCCCCTCCACAAAAGCCGTATTGAACCATTCTTGCCCGCGTCGGCTGCGAGCACTAAAAGTGGCGCCTCACGTTCTGCCATCTAATGACCCTTTGCCGGCTGCTGCAGATGTTTTCTATGACTTACAGCTCCTTTTCCAGCAGCCCCGGCCGCAAAAAACAAGAGGGGCCACTTTAATTCCAATTAAATACCTCCAGCTAAGCAAACAGAGTGCAGCGGGGCCTGGGCACGGCGCAGCAGCCAGGCCCGGCCCACGGAGTCACTGAGTCTAGACTCCAGATGTGGTTCCACCGGCCTCCAGTGCTCCGTGGATACTGGGGCCCTGCTCAGTGCCACGGTGTGCGAGCCCCGGTGTGGGTCTGGAACTGGGTCCTGCCCAGCACTGGGTACCGGCTGTCACTGTGGCCTCAAATCCGTCCCCATGTAGCCACCAGAGTCCCCTGTGTGGGCAGGAGCAGGCTGAGGGTTGCCTATGGAATCATGGATGGTTTGTGGTGGAAGGGAGCTTAAAGCTCCTCCAGCTTCAACCCCTGCCACAGGCAGGGACCCCTTCCACTGGAGCAGCTTGCTCCAAGCCCCTGTGTCCAACCTGGCCTTGAACACTGCCAGGGATGGGGCAGCCACAGCTTCTCTGGGCACCCTGTGCCAGCGCCTCAGCACCCTCACGGGGAAGAGCTTCTGCCTTAGATCTAACCTGAACTTCCCCTGTTTTGGTTTAAACCCATCACCCCTTGTCCTGTTGCTACAGTCCCTAATGAAGAGTCCCTCCCCAGCATCCTTGCAGCCCCCTTCAGGCACTGGAAGCTGCTCTGAGGTCTCCACGCAGCTTCTCTTCTCCAGGCTCAACAGCCCCTGTGTTCACAGCCTGTCTCCAGCCCCTCATCATCCTCATGGCCTCCAACAGCTCCATGTCCTTCCATTAGGACACGGTACCCGCAGCACCAGCACCGCGCTCCCTGCTCCGCTGCCGGCGCGGCAGAGAGCCAGGAGCGTTCCCGGGGCTACCGGGAGGGGAGCGCGGGGTCACCCTCATCCTGCCCGGCCCCAGAGCCGGGAACGGCAGAGAGGAAGGAAGCGCCCTGGGCCCTGCGAGGAGCCGCTGGCGTCGGCCCGGCCCCGGCTCCGCTTGCCCGCTGCACCTGGGCTCGTGGCACCGCCGCAGCATCCCAGCGGCTCCACTGTGTCTGGGATGCTGCTGGGCCGCCTTCCTCTCGCCATGGGGTCCCTCCGGTGCGGGAGGGCTGCGGAAGCACGAAGGTGCCGGCTCCGGTGGGAAATCTCCATCGGGGGAGTGGAGCCAGCGCGTCCTGCTGCCGGCAGCGTGGAGTTTGGGCTGATCCCACCATGGCCCCTGGGGCAGGGATGCAGGGCAGCCCCTGGGCATCCTGCTCACATGCCAAGCTCCTGCCAGCGATTGCATTGGGGTGGGATAGGGTTGCCTCTGGGCATCCTTCTCTCATGGCCAGTTCCTGCATTGGGATCATGAGATGGGATGAGCGTACCGGGAGCACCCTGGGTGCAAATGCCCGGGAGTGGGATGGCAGTTTCATAGCTGGGAATGCTGGCGCCTGGGGCAGGGGAGGACATGGGGGATGCTTGTCCCCAGAGCCCGGTAGAACCCCCCCATGCTACAGCTGGAGTGCATGTGGGGTGGGAGCGGGTGCTGCAGGCCCCTGTGTCTCCCCGCGCAGGGCTGGGGATGCCCGGCCGGGGTGGGGGTCCCGGCTGAAAGCCGGGGTCCTGCCCGTGGCGCCCGGCCGGCGGCTGCGAGCGGGGAGAGGAAACAGCCGGGAGCAGGCGCAGGCTCGGCCGGCCGGCGAGGAGGGGCAGGAAGCTGGAATAAATCCCAGGAAGGGCCGCCTGGCTCCAGCTGGTCTGGGCTGCAGCGGATGGAGCTGGGAACGGGAAGGGAGAAGGCGGGAGGGGAACGCTCAGGGGCTTTCTCAGGCCTCAGCCCTGCTCCAGCTGTGCCGGCGGCCCCGGCTCACATCTGCCGCCCTGCTCAGCACCATCCTGCGGGATCGGGGGGCTGGAGGCTCCGCAGAGCCCCAGGGCAGGGGGTGTGTGTATCTCCAGTGGGAGGAGAGGACCTGGATGGAGCCAGCACAGGAGCAGCCCCACTTTGGGGGTCCCATCCACTGGGGATGCCCCATCCTTAACCATGGCGTCCCCGTGTGCCGGGGCGCGGTGCTGCCGCCTGTCCCCTGTCCCCATCACCACCGCGGCACAGGCATCCCCGGCGGCCCCTCGGCGGCCTGGCGTGGCCGTGCCCTGTGTGGTCCCTGCGGGGTGGGGGGCAGCCGGGGGGCTTTGATGTGCTCCTGCTGCCGGGCAACCCCAGCTCTGCGCGAAGCAGCCGCTCCCCCCCCGCCCCGGCTGCACAGAGCTCAGCCAGCACCATATGGCCGGGGCCGCTGTTACCGCGCAGCCAGCCCCGTTCCCAGAATTGACATGGAAATGAAGCGATCCGTCCTGCTGGACACCGCCGGCTGCGCTGGCCGGGCCCCGCCGCCAGATGTGGCCAGGGCAGCATCCTGTGGGCACAGCAGCACCCCCGAGCCCGGCATGCCATCCCCAGCACCGCCTCATGCAGAGGGATGGAGTGAGGGTGTCCCACAGCGGGTACCCCGGGGGGGTCTCCCGTGTGCCGCGGCAGCGGGGCCGGGCCCGGTGCGCTGGCCGCCGGGGTGGCCGGGGCTGGGGCCGCATTGTTGGCGGTGCGGCTCTGAAAGGCATTCCTGTGCACAATGTCCTCGGCCTCCCCGCTGCCAGATGGGGGCTAATTAGCAGCTTTGAGAGCCGCGGTGGGAACCGGGCAGCACCAGCCCCTCCGCCGAGCCCTCAATGGAGGGGGTGACCCCGGCGCCGTGCCCACCCTGGGAACCAGCAGCGCTGCGGGAGGAGGGACAGCGGCACCGAGGGGCGCAGCACCCCGAGGGTTGCAGCCCACCGTGCTCCCCACGCCAGAGGAGGAAGAGGAGGGGAGGCCTTCGGCTCCCTGCAGCCGCTCTGAGCATGGCCAGCACGGGAGGGTGGCCCCCAGCCCACACCCCAAAGGGTAGGGTGCCGGGTCCCCTTGCACCCACACTGGGGTTGGTCTGCGTGATGCATTCTCCAGACAAGAAGGGCACAAGGTGCCCGTGGCCATGCCACTACGAAGGTGCCATCACCTCCGTGCCGCTGCGGTGGTGCAGCCCACCCCGACAGCCCTGTCCAGCCACAGGGTCAGGGTACATTGGAGCTGCATTGTTGGGTGCCCTGGCCCTGCAGCAGCTTTGCTCATGGCAGAGCCCAACAATGCAGCAGTGCAGTCTTGGGGGTACGCATGGGGCGGTGGGTGCTGCTTCAGCACCCACATGGTGCATGTGAGCTACATGAGAGTGCATAGGTGAACATACATGGTTGTAGCTGTGTATCTGAGTGCGTGCACGTGTGTGTGCCTGCATCCGTGTGTGCGCGTGTACTTAGGGACGTGTTTGTGCACGTGTGTGAGCGTGCCCGTACCTCGGGGGGTGTGTGAAGGTGTGATGGACGTGAATCCATGTGTGCACACGTGTGTCCCTGTGCACACCCGCACACCCCCCCCCCGTGGCTCCAGAGGCCGCAGCTCTGTCTGCTCCTCCTGCCCTGGTTTGCCCTGTTCAGGGGGTACCGGGGTCCCTCTCAGGGTCCCCCCCGGAGCTCTCGATGCCGGTGGATGCTGCAGGTGGGCGATAACGAGCAATTCCCACCGGGATCGGAAGCCCTTGAGGGCAGGGACCGGCTTCGAACGGTCCCAGCGGAACCCCCTCCCGGGAGCCCCCCCTTCGGCTCCCACGGCCCCGGTACTCCCCCCGCCGACCTGCACCCCGCACCCCCCCCCCCATTCCCGGTGCTATCGGGGCACCCCTGTGGGACCGAACGGGGGCCCGGGGGTCTCGGGGCTGCCCGGTGCCCCCGCGGGGGTCCCGCTGTGCCCCCCCTCGCCCGTCCCGCCCCCGTCGCCATGGGCACCGCCCGCGAGGCGCCGCGCTGACAGCGCGCGGGGTTTTATGAATGGGTGACGTCACGGCCCTGGCGTCTAACGGTCTGGGCCGGCGGGGGGGCGGGGGGGGCCGGGAATTCGGTGGGGGGAGAGGGCAAGGGGGGAGCGGGGCTGTGGGAGCCGGACCCGGGGTCCCGAGGGGCGATTGCCCACGGCGATGGCGGGGGAGCTGCGGAACGGGCGGCACCCACCGGAGCCCCGCACCCCGGTACCCCCCCAGCACCCCCGTGTGCCCCCGCCGCCGCTGCCCCTTTAAGGCGCTGCCCTTCGGGACAGCATGAATGGGATGGGCGGGGCGGTCCCTTCCCAAGCGGCGCTGCCATTGGCTCCGCCGCTCCCCCGTGGCCCCGCCCCTCCATCAGCCGCGCGCTATAATTGGCGCTGCGGGGCGCGGGCTCCGCTGTCCGCCCGCAGGGTCCCGCCGCCGCCGGTCCGTCCCCGCCGCCCCACGCTATGAAGGTCGCTGCCGTTGTCCCGTCGCCGCTGCCCGCGGGCGCCGGTGGCGCGCTGAAGGCGGTGCGGCCCGGGGAGGCCGCCCGCTGCGGGCCGGGGCCGGGGGCGTCCCCGGGGGCGGCGGAGCAGGCGGCCGCCGCGCTGCTCTACGACATGAAGGGCTGCTACTCGCGGCTGCGGGCGCTCGTCCCGACCCTGCCGCGGCACCGGCGGGTCTCCAAGGTGGAGCTGCTGCAGCACGTTATCGACTACATCTGGGACCTGCAGCTGGCGCTGCAGCGAGGGCCCCCCCGCCCCGCCGCCGCCGCCGGGGACCCCCCCGAGGTGAGTGCGGACCCCCCGGTACCGGCCCCGCTCTCCCGCCCTGCCGGTTCCCCGGACCCCTTGCGCTTCATCAGCGCCGGGGGTGCCCCTTCCATCCCCGGGACGTCCCGGACCGGCTCTGACCGCTTCGCCCTCCTCTCCCGCAGGCTCCGTGCGTGCCCGCTGCCGACCGGATCCTCTGCCGCTGAGACCGTTCCGGACCCGCCGCGGACATCCCGGGACCGTGGCCGCCTGCATCCCGGGTCCCCCCGGGGGGGGGATCCCCCCCGCAGCCCGGGCCGGGGGTGCTGCCCGATGTATCCTTCTCAGATTGCTGAGAGCATTCCCCGTATTGTATATTACAATGATGCTGGAGAATATTGTTCTACAATAGCTGGAGTTTTGTTATTAAACAAGCCCTGATGACCAGGCACGTCTCTGCTTCCTCCCCCTCAAGCCCCGGGCTTTGGGGACAGCCCCCCCCGGGAGTCTGAACCTGGGGCATCCTATCGGGACCAGTGTGGGCTGGGTGGGTGCTGGAGTCCCCCATGGGCTGGTCCCAGTCGCCCCAGTGCTGCTGTTATGGGACCTGCCTCAGCACTGTACCCCCCTGCGTGCTCTGTGTCCTGCTTCCCCCTCGCTCCCAGGCTCAGACATGGGGTGCTGGGGCTGGTGTACCCCGGATTCTGCAGTAGGAAGCTGCAGCAGCACTGGGATGTGTTTCTCCTGTGTGGGCACCTTGATGGGACGATGCCACTGAAGGGATGGTGCTGGGAGCTGGGTGAAGGGCTCTGTGCCCACTTGGAGACTGTGGGTGGCGGTGTCTCTGCATGGGGGTGAGTGTGCAGCACAGGTCTGTCAATGCACCGAGTTCCAGCTGGGACCCTGCAGTGTTCCTGGAGCTGTGCTGGGGTGCAAGGCTGTGGGCGCTGCTCCCATTGCACTGCCCCAAGGGAAAGTGGGTGCAGGCCCCAGGGTGCTGTCCCTGCGGCTCCGGTTTGGTGCTGGACAAGCTCTCTGGGACAAGGAAGTTGCATCAGGGGTTGCACAACCCCGCGGGCTGGGGGTGCCCCGGGCAGCAGCGCTGCCCTGAGCTCCCCTGTGACTCACAACCACCTCGGGGCCGAGCTGCCTCCTGCCGCAGCTGGGAACGGACCTTCCTGAGGGGCTGGCGGAGCAAACCGGGCTGCATGGGGGGGTCCTGCTGCCTTAGTGGGACCCTTTCTGCCCCCCAACAGGTCCTGCAGCCGGGGCTCAGGGTTTGCACCCCTCTGCTGCAGGGGTGTGTGTGCTTCTGCGTGATCACCTGTGTGTGTTTGCATGTCCATGGCGTGCTCACAGCCCCGTGTGTGTGTGTGCGTGTGTGTGTGTGTGTGTGTGCGCCTGCCCTCTCGTGTTCCCCAGCCCAGCAGGTACCTGGCAGGGGGTGAGCAGGGGGAGGTGATTTGGGCAACTGGGGCACTGCTTGTCCTGGCTGTGACACAGCGGTTGGGGGACATGGAGTGCCGTGGGTCCGGGTCGCTGTGGGTGATGTCCCTTCCACCAATACCCCCTGTGACACCGCCATCACTTCCCTCCGTCACCCCCAGTTCCCCTCTATCACCCCACCGCTGCCCCTCCATCACCCCCCAGTTCCCCTCTATCACCTCACCACTGTCCCCTCCATCACCCCCAGTTCCCCTCTATCACCCCACCGGTGTCCCCTCCATCACCCCCAGTTCCCCTCTATCACCTCACCACTGTCCCCTCCATCACCCCCAGTTCCCCTCTATCACCCCACCGCTGTCCCCTCCATCACCCCCCAGTTCCCCTCTATCACCCCACCGGTGTCCCCTCCATCACCCCCAGTTCCCCTCTACCATCCCACTGCTGTCCCTTCGCTCCCCAGGTCCCCTCCATCACCGCGGCTCCAGGCCAGTCCCGGTGCGCGGGGCTCTTTGGGTCCCTCTCCCGGTGCCCGCCCGCACTGCACAGCCCGGCCGGGACCGCCCTCCCGAAGGGTCCCGGTGAGGGGAGACCCGGACCCGGGGGCTCTTCCCTCCCCCGGAGCCGTCCTTGCCCCGTTCATTGCCCGTAGATGTGGAAGCTCCGGCTGCAGCCGTGGGGAGTTGGGCTCTTGGACCCCACATCCAGCCCCTGACCCCCTGCCCAAGCCCCGTGTGCCCCACGGCCGAACCCCGGCCATGCAGCCCCGGCCACCACCGGCTCAGGGCAGGGGCTCAGGATGCGGCGTTGCCAAAGGGCTGGCACCGCCGGGACAGGCTCGGAGCGGGGCTGAGCTGCTGCCACGTGCCGGGATCCCGGATTTGGCAGCGCCAGGATGCCCCGGAGGGCCCAGCCCCGCGGCCACCGGCGCCCCAACCGCTCCCCGGTTGTTTTCATGGGACCTGATTCATCCCGGAAGGGATTAGGGACCGGGGAGCTGGTGACGCGCTGGTCCAACCAGCCCGGCCACCCCGGGATGGACACGGGTGTCAGAGCTGGTCACTGCCACGTACGGCCCCGGGGACATGGCAGAGCTGGGACCAACGGTGGGACCTGTGGCTCCCATGGAATGGGCACTGTGGCCACCGGCCGTGGTGAGTCTTGGGGCATGGTGGGGGTATTTGGGGATGGAGGGGCTGTGGCGGGCACGGGGCTGGTGGCCTTTGGGATGCTGCTGGTGGCCGTGGTTGGTGGTACTGGGGGTCCCAGGCGAGCGGGAGCTGCTCTTGAGGGGTCCATAAAGGAGCAGTGCCCTGCTGAGGTTGGCCACGGGCCCTGTGTCCCCTCATGGTGCTGGGGTGGAGCCCTGGACCCCTGGAGGGACCTCTGGATGCCCCGGTAGCCGCAGCCCATAGCCTGGGGCTGCCCCCCGGGGACGGTCCCACCACCAGCAGCAGCACAAGCAGCTCCCCTCCTGCGGCCGGGGCTTTTGGAGGGGATTGCACAGTTCTGCTCTCCCTCTGCCTGCCCCGATGTTCCCAGCGCCCCGCAGCCGCCCTGACCCCACAGACGATCGGGTGCCCCAGTGCAGGGGCCCCAGAGCCATTCCCAAAGTGGGAGCAGCCACTGCTCCCCAGTGCAGATGGGTCGAGCCCTGCCCCAGCAGTGCAGCTCCCTCTGTCCTGGGACCAGCTCTCTCCATCCCCCTGCTCCTCCATCACCTCCAGTCCCGGCATAGCCAAAGCCCCTCAGGACCGTGACCCAGCCACGTCTCTGTGCCCCCATGGAGCTGTGGGTCCCTATGGGGAGCCCTGGCTGGTGGCACGGGGCCGGCAGCAGCGCAGCCGTGGGACCCTGCCTGCCCCTTGCTCCCACGAGTGGGAAACAACGGGGAAGCGGCTTCCCCTTTGAGTCACGCGTTGGGCAAGGCCGGGCTTTCGGTGCCGGAGCGCTGCGGTGGCCCCGCGTGTGCGCAGGAGCTGATGTAACCCTGTCCCCATATAAGCCCTGGCCGGTGCCCGGGGATGGGGTCTCTGCACAGCTGTGTGTCCCATGGCCGCGTCCTCTGCTCCAGCTCCCAGCTCCCAGCACCGTTCCCGAGGCTCTTTGGGACCAGTGTGCCTCTGCCTCCTGCTCCTGCTGAGCGCCTGCGTGCCCATCACTGGCACCAGCCCCGGCACCAACCCTGGCACCAACCCTGGCACCAACCCTGGCACCAACCCGGGCACCAGCCCTGGCACCAACCTCGGCATCAACCCCGGCATCACAGCCCGGCTGACCCGGAGGGCGTTGGAATTTGGTAGGTATCTGCCCCTTGGTCTGTGGGTAGAGCCCCTCCAACACCATCCTTGGGGTTGCTGTCCTGGCCCTGCTTGTCCCCTCCCCAGCATCTTGGGTGCCCCAAACCCCTTCCTGGGTGTCACATCCCTGCTCTGCCCCAGGCCGGCGCTTTGGGGTGGAGCTGCTCCAGTCACTGCTGCAGAAGGAGCATGAGCTGGACCTGGAGGGCTCCTACCACATCCCGCTCCTGGGGACGCTGACCTACACCGTGCCCCGGTAAGAGCTGCGCACGGGGTCCCTGTCCCATCCTTGTCCCCGTCCCGGATGCAGCCACAGGACTGGGCCGTCCGTGTCGTGCAGGATCCACATCCAGGAGCTGCATGTGAACGACTCCAGCTTGGACTTCGCTGAGGACGTGGGGCTGAGGCTGACGGTGCAGGGCGCCCGCATCCGGCTCAGCGCCGAGTGGGGAGCCCGCCTGGGGGCCGTGTGAGTCCTGCATGGGGATGGGGATGGGGATGGGGACCGGGGGGCACCGCTGTGCCCCTGCTCACCCCCTCCATCCCCAGCCAGGACAGCGGCTCCCTGGAGCTCCACGTGCAGGACCTGGCCATGGTGGCGGTGCTGGGGCTGGGGGCGGATGCTGACGGCCGCCCCGCGCTGTGGAGCGCCGGCTGCGACGCCCGCGGTACCCACCTGCGCCTGCAGTTCCACCGGGGGCACAGGTAACGCGGGACCCCGCTCCCCTCCTGTCCCTGGTACACAGGGATCCCCCCCCCCGCTGCCCGCAGTGGGGTGGTGATGAGCTGGGGTAATGAGGACCCTGCTCTGCCCCACAGCTGGCTCTACAACCTCCTGGCACCTCCGCTCCAGGGGACCCTGCAGCAGGAGCTGAACAAGCAGGTGGGTGCTCGGCCCCTGCGCTATGGGGTGTCGGTGTCCAGGAGTCCCCCTTCCATGGCAGGCAGAGGGAGAGGTTTGGGGACCCCATCCATGGCCTCCCTGATGCCCTGCTCTGCTTCCAGCTCTGCATCAAGCTCCGCAAAGGTGTCTTCAAGCTGGAGGATGCCCTGAAGCAAATGCGAGGTGTGTGAAGGACCCTGGGGGCCAGGCAGGGTGGGATGGGGGGGCTGGTGCCCAGCAGGGTCTGCGGGACCCCAGAGTGGGGCTGAATCCCCAAAACCTCCCCTGTGTCCCTGCAGTGTCCACCCAGGTGGACGCCTTCGTCGCCATCGACCATTCCCTGCTGGGGCCACCGGCCATCACGGCAGAGCACGGGGACATCGCCATCAAGGTAACATCATCCCTGGGCTGAGTGCAGGGGAGCAGGGCTGAGCTTCACATCCACCCCTCCATCCACCCTTCATCCATCCATCCATCCACCCCTCCATCCATCCCTTCAACCACCCCTCTATCCACCCCTCCCTCCATCCACCCCTCCATCCACCCCTCCATCCACCCTTCCATCTCTCTTCACAGGGAGAGTTCTTCAGGGTGCACAAGTCCCAGCAGAGGCCCTCTTTGGTGCTGCCGGTGTCGCTGCCGGTGTCGCTGCTGGTGCCGCTGCCGGTGCCGCTGCCGGTGGCACACGAGCCCATGCTGCTGGTGGCTGTCACCGACTCTGTTGCCAACTCGGCCGCCTTCGCCTACTTCACGGCTGGGGCCCTGCGCAGGAACATCTCCAGTGCCATGGTAGGGACGGGTCTGGCAGAGCTGCCCCCTCCGGGGTGTCCCTGCGCCTTCTGTCCCAGCACCCTGACCCTCTGCCGCCTTCCAGCTCCTCCGGCGGTTCCCGGTCCAGCTGAAGACCAAGAGCTTCGGGATCTTCACCCCACAGGTGGCTGCGGGTGGGATGGGACGTGGGGAGAAGGGACAGAGGTGGGATGCAGGCAGGACGAGATGCAGGCAGGATGGGACGCAGGCAGGATGAGATGCAGGCAGGGAGGGACACAGGCAGGACGGGATGGAGGCAGGACGGGATGGAGGCAGGACGGGATGGAGGCAGGACGGGATGGAGGCAGGATGGGATGGAGGCAGGATGGGATGCAGGCAGGACGGGATGGAGGCAGGACGGGATGGAGGCAGGACGGGATGGAGGCAGGATGGGATGGAGGCAGGATGGGATGGAGGCAGGACGGGATGGAGGCAGGACAGGATGGAGGCAGGACGAGATGGAGGCAGGACGAGATGGAGGCAGGACGGGATGGAGGCAGGATGGGATGGAGGCAGGATGGGATGCAGGCAGGGTGGGATGCAGGCAGGGTGGGATGCAGGCAGGATGGGATGCAGGCAGGATGGGGCACAGGCAGGATGGGATGCACAGGGCAGGGGGGTGGTGGGGACCCCCTGGAAGCCCCGATTGGTGCTGGTGGTGCCGGTGCCAGCCCAGCCCTGCTTCCCCCTCAGCTGCAGGAGCGCTTCCCGGACCAGCCCATGGAGCTGCAGGTCTGGGCCCGCCGGCAGCCGCTGTTCTCCTGCCACCCCGATGCCGTGCACGGGGCCCTCTTCGGCTCTGCTGAGGCCTTCGTGCTGCTCCCCAATGGCACCCGTGTCCCTGCTTTCCTGCTGGACATCGTGAGTGCCTGGTGCTGGGTGGCACAGGGAGATGGGGCGATGCTGGGTGATGCTGGATAATGCTGGGGTGATGCTGGATAATGCTGGGTGATGCTGGGTGATGCAGGGTTAAGTTGGGTGATGCTGGATAACGCTGGGGTGATGCTGGTGATGCTGGGTGATGTTGGGGGATGTTGGGTGATGCTGGTGATGCTGGATAATGCTGGGGTGATGCTGGATAATGCTGGGTGATGCTGGGTGATGCAGGGTTAAGTTGGGTGATGCTGGATAACGCTGGGGTGATGCTGGTGATGCTGGGTGATGTTGGGGGATGTTGGGTGATGCTGGTGATGCTGGATAATGCTGGGGTGATGCTGGATAATGCTGGGTGATGCTGGGTGATGCAGGGTTAAGTTGGGTGATGCTGGATAACGCTGGGGTGATGCTGGTGATGCTGGGTGATGTTGGGGGATGTTGGGTGATGCTGGTGATGCTGGATAACGCTGGGGTGATGCTGGATAATGCTGGGGTGATGCTGGTGATGCTGGGTGATGTTGGGTGATGCGGGCTTGCATTGCTCTGATCTTTCCAACACCTCCTGCTGCAGGATGCCAATGTGACGGGGAAGCCCATCATCACCGGGAACAGGCTCGGGGCCACCATGAGCCTCAAGGGGTGAGTGCCCAGTGCTGGGTCCGGCCTCCCCATGGATGTACCCAGGAGCTCCCCCCCATTCCCCACCTGTGGCTGTTTTCCTCCCTGGGTCCTGTACCACCCATGCCTGCTGCCCTGGCACTGGTACCGCCTGGGTCCTCAGCTGGACCCGTCCCTTCCCTGGGAGGGTCCAGTCCCCATCCCTGTCCCTGGCTCTCACCCTGCTCTCATCCTCCAGGCTCAGAGTGACGCAGGTGACATCGCACGTGGGTCCGGTGGAGGTGAGTGGCCATGAGTGGGACAGGGACAGGACAGGGGAGCCTTGTCCTCTGCATGCCCTGGGAGCAGGGTCGGGGGGGTCCTGGGGGTGCTGTGGGCCCTGTGCCAGGCTCAGGGCTGCCTGTCCCGCAGGTGCAGAGGCTGGAGACACTGCTCAGCTTGGGGCTGAGGCTTTTTGGGGTGCCCAGAGCCAACAGTGAGTGATGTCCCTGTGCTGTCCCCTCCTGTCCCCATTGTCCCCCTCCAGCTGCCCCCTCACGCTCTGCTCTCCCCACAGAGTGGCTCCAGGCCCGTGTCCCCCTGCCCACCCCGTACGGCCTCCGCCTGCTCAACCCGCGACTCTCACTGCACGAGGTGGGTGCTGCTCCCGTCCGTCCCCCCCTCCCGGTGCCCCCTAAACCCCCCTTGTCCCCATCTCACCCCCGTTCCCCACAGGGTTTCACGCTCATCACCACGGACCTGCAGCACGAGCCGTGACACCGGATGCCTCGTGGCCCCTTCACCCTCACCATCCCACACCCGCTGCCCCGGTGGCCCCAGCACCGGCCCTGGGACCCCCCCGGGGGGTTCAAGTCCTTCGCCCCCCATCTGCAGCGCTGCGGCTCCGCGGCCGCTTCCCCCCATGACCACGGGGTGGCGCCCGTGTCCCGGCGCTGCCCCGGCGGTACCGGGGGTGCTGGGGTTGGAACCGGGGAATGGTTTGGGATGAAGGGACCTTAAGGCTCCTCCAGCTCCAACCCCTGCCACGGGCAGGGACCCCTCCCACTGGAGCAGCTTGCTCCAAGCCCCTGTGTCCAACCTGGCCTTGAGCACTGCCAGGGATGGGGCAGCCACAGCTTCTCTGGGCACCCTGTGCCAGCGCCTCAGCACCCTCACAGGGAAGAGCTTCTGCCTAAGAGCTCAGCTCAGTCTCCCCTCGGGCAGGTTCAAGCCATTCCCCTTGGCCTGTCCCTACATCCCTTATCCAAAGCCCCCTTCCATGTTTCCTGACGGCTCTCCCCTCTCCCCAGCCGCAGCTCTCCTCCCACCAGCAGCACTGTAGATGCTCCCGCTGCCACCATCAGTGCACACAGCCCCTTCATGAGGCCACAGAAGGAGCATTTGGGCCTGGCCTTGGTGCAAAGAAGGGGCTGAGCAGGGCCAACAACCACCGGCCACCCCCCTCCTTGGGCCACCCCATCCCTCCCCGGTCCCGTCCGTCCCCAGGGGCGGTGTTCACAGAGAGCACAGCACCAGCAGCGGCTCCAATGACAAGAGTTTATTTGTGGACCCACCTCCACCTGCAAACCGAAGCGTTCAATGGGCAAATGCTGCTCCCTGCGCGCCCCGGGCGGGATCTGCTCCTGGAGCCAGCGGATCCCGCACCGGGAGCACGAGCCCGTGCTTGGGGGGCCAGGCAGGACCCCCCCACCTCCACCTCCACCCCCTTGGCCTCTGCAGGGAGCACGGCCCCACACATAAATAGGGACAGACGAGATAACAAAAATAGCATTAAAGAGTATTCACAAAGGGGTTAAAACCTACGGGGTCTGTACAGCAGAGCGGGGGCCGGGGGGGCTGTTCTGGAAGCTCCGAAGCTGCCGCACGCACCCGTCACAGCCACGCTTGGGACAGGGTCTGCCTGGGCTATGGGGAGCAGGGACCCACGGGCATGGCCTCAATGAGGCTCTGCGCCGGTGCCAACCCTCGCTGCTCCCAGGGATGGGCTATGGTGGAGGGGCTGCTCCCAGGGCTTTGCTTCCCCTCCTGCATCGCTCCCCTGGTCCCTCCATCACCCGGGGCCCTTGTGCCAGGGCAGGGGCTGGTTCAGGTGCTCTGCCCCTCGCCTGCCTCCCTCCTTTGCCAGGCCCTGCTGCAGTTTACATTCAGAGGGAGGAGGAGGAAGAGGATCCCTTCAACGGGGCACAGCCTCAAACTCCGTCCTCACTGAGATCAGCTCCCAGCAGCTGGTGCCTGGGGAGAAAGGGGCTGATGTGAGGGCAGAGCTCGCTGCCTCCAGCCTCTCTGCCTCTTCCTCCTCACTCCCCTCAGCACAGGGATGAGCTCTGCCTGGAGGAAGCAGGGACGGGACCGGGATGCTGCAGGGATGCTCCACGGCAGCCCTGCCTCTTCCCAGGGCCTGACACGGGAGCAGGGAGCCTCGACCCTCGCTCTGGCTGGGGCACCTTACGTTAGTGACACATCTACACACACGCACGCACTCACACATGCAAAAATAAGTCTGTTTTATTCTCTTCCAAGTGACCTGGAGGACCCTGCGGGGAGGGGGCACCTTCTGCACCCCCCCCTTCAACCCGCCCGGGTCCCCCCAGCGTGGGAGCTGGTGGCTGAAGTGCTGCCGTGGCCTCAGCGCCTTTAAAACACAACGGGAGGGATGAGGAGGGGGGGGGGGGGGGCTACGAGAAAGGAGCTGCGGCGTGGGGGGTGCCCCCCACAGGGCTCGGTGCTTGGGAGGAGTGTAGTGGCTGGGGGGGGCCGCGGTGGGGCCGGCTCACTTGCGGCTCAGCAGGGATCCCAGCAGGAGCACCCCGGCCACCGTGGCCCCGGTCAGGAGCCATTTGTTGAAGGTCTCTTGGCCCTTCCTCACCTCGGCAGCAGCATCGTTCCCGTAGAGGTCCACAAAGCGCTCCTGCGGGAAGAGGGAGGCGGTGAGCAGAGGGCAGGGAGCGGAGCAGGGGCCATCCCTGGGCCCCACCGTGGCATGGGGCGGAAGGCGGTGGTGGGGAGCAGGAAGGTGACAGATGCCGTGCGTGCTTCCCTGCTCTGAGTCACGCACAGAGCGCGATGGGGAAGCACAGGATCAGTGACGGGAGAAGGGGATGCCAGGAAGGATTGGCAAGGAGAGCACCACGCGGGCAGGGCGGGAGATGCTGCATCCATCACGTGCTGCGGGCTCGCTAATATTAGCATCAAAGTGGGGTAGAAATCACTGCAGCAGGACGACACCGGGCTTTAGCCCATGGCCAAGGCTTGCGGAGCTGCAGCAGGGCTGGTGCCCACGGATGGGGCAGGAGCCCACAGGGTTCATCCCTTTTGCATCCAAGTGGAGGCTCCCATCACCGCCAGCACTGCCACATCCCGGCCGGCACCGGTTGCTCTGGATTTCAGGAAGCCCTGTGGCAAAGGCAGGCACTGGGTCACCAAACTGCTGCCTTCCCCTTGGGGTCAGCGGCCAAGCAGGAGGCCTGGCCAGGAATGCAGCCACTCCAGCCCGGCTCGTCCGAGCCGGCCGCCTCCAGCCCCTCACCTCCAGCACCAGCAAGAGCCGGGCACATCCCAGCAGAGGCACTGCACAGGATGGAGCCACAGCCCCTGTCCCTGAGGGGTGACAGCGCTGGACACGTGGCATGGCCTGGACTGGGGGTGATGGAGGGCAGAGAAGAGCATCAGAGAGCGCGCCTGCCCCTGCGCCCATGCGGCACCCGTGGCACGGAGCCAGCCTCTGCTCAGCTGGGGACCCTGCATCACCGGTCAGTGGCTGCTCGGGTCCCCAGGGAAGGAGGGGTCCATGCGCAGGGGCCTTTGCCCCCGGGGTTATCAGGGCCGAGCAGGAGCCCCGGGGCTGGAGGAGCTGGAGCTGAGCTCCAGGCTCCGGGCCCGGGCTGGCGTCAGCAGGAGCTCGCCATTGTCGCACCTCGAGCCCATGTTCCCAGCGAGGTCCCTGCTCCCTGATAAGTGAGAGCAGTTCCAGTAACCCGGCAGCTCTGGGGAAGCACAGATAAGCCCGGCTGAGGCTGCGCTCCTGTCACGACTCACCACGGCCTCCCCGAGGCAGGAGCAGCATCACTGCCTGCTCTGGCAGCATCCCTGCCTGCTCTGCCATCCCTGCCTGCTCTGCCATCCCTGCCTGCTCTGGCATCATCCCTGCCTGCTCTGGCAGCATCCCTGCCTGCTCTGGCAGCATCACTGCCTGCTCTGGCAGCATCCCTGCCTGCTCTGGCAGCATCACTGCCTGCTCTGGCAGCATCCCTGCCTGCTCTGGCAGCATCACTGCCTGCTCTGCCATCCCTGCCTACTCTGGCAGCATCCCTGCCTGCTCTGGCAGCATCCCTGCCTGCTCTGCCATCCCTGCCTGCTCTGCAGTCCCTGCCTGCTCTGGCAGCATCACTGCCTGCTCTGGCAGCATCACTGCCTGCTCTGCCATCCCTGCCTACTCTGGCAGCATCCCTGCCTGCTCTGGCAGCATCCCTGCCTGCTCTGCCATCACTGCCTGCTCTGCAGTCCCTGCCTGCTCTGGCAGCATCACTGCCTGCTCTGCCATCCCTGCCTACTCTGGCAGCATCCCTGCCTGCTCTGGCAGCATCCCTGCCTGCTCTGCCATCCCTGCCTGCTCTGGCAGCATCACTGCCTGCTCTGCAGTCCCTGCCTGCTCCGTCAGCATCCCTGCCTGCTCTGCTACCCCTGCCTGAAACTGCCTCCCATACCTGCCCAGAGCCCACAAAGAGCTGCAGTCGCTGCCACAGAACCTGCAGGGCTTCAGTTCCTGGATCACATCAGGGATCGAGAGTCTCTTTAGGCAAGTGCCTCTCCATCACTCATGGACAGAGGGTATCAGTGCTCTGGCTCCTCCAAAACAGCCCCAGCATGGTCACAGCATGCGCTTACCTCCTCACCCCGCCACAAACACACAGCTTTTGACAGCAAGGTGTGCAACACACAAGGCTGCTCAAAGGGAGCAGGATGTGCCCCTCTTCTTGGCCACAGGCCTCCTGCCACAGGGGATTAGGTACCTGAACAACTGTCCCTGCACCTCAGCACCACCTCTGCCCCCCAAGCACCATCTCCAGCATCTCAATACCCCCCTCGACCGTGAGTAGGTATCAGTAGAGGTTGGGCAGGGTGCTGGGAGCACAGGGACTTCACTAACTCACCCCAGGGCACATCACTGCTCCCCCCGAGCCCTCTGCAGGGCCGTGACACCATCCCCATGGCTCCACAGTGTGGCAGGAGCTCCCTTCCCACCAGGCTGGGGGTGCTGCACAGCACCCCGGGGCGGGCAGGCCAAGGCTCACACACAGGGGCCACCCAGGGAGGACCAAGGGGGAGGCTGCGCCCTCCTTTTCGCCCAGGAAAAGCCACTTGTTACGGCTTCATGAAGGATTATCAAGGATTCACGAGGGTCAGCCCCACCGAGGGTCAGTCCCAGCAACGGGAACGGCCCCATCGTGCCCAGGCCGGCTGCAGAGGTGGAAGGAAGGAAGGAAGGGGCATCCAGGCAGGCACCAGGAGAGGGCCCCCGAGGCAGCTGGCAGCGGCTGCTGCCTCCCATGGTGTGTGCCAGGAGCGGGGGGGGGGGAAAGGCGCTTCCGAGAAGTGAGTTTTGGGGCCTTGCTTCTCAGAAAAGGAAGCGTTTGCTGAGCAAGAGATAAATGCAGAGGGGGCAGCGGGAGCTATCGGCTGCTCCAGGCGGAGGAGAGCAGGGAGGGGATGCGAATCCCTCTCCTTCCCCCGGGGAAGGGAGCAGCAGATGCTGGGATGCAGCTGGGGCTGCAGGGACCTGCACGGGGGGAGCAGTGCCCTCCCTCAGGAGCCCCGGCACGACCGCGATCCCAGATGGGAGCCCTGGGAATGGCGATCCCAGAGCAGGGGCAGTGGGAAAGCAGGCAGCAGCGGCCTCCCTTCCGTCCCGGGAGCGGGTTGAAGGTTAGGGAACGGCAGCTTGCTCGGTTCCCACACGGCCCCGGGCCCTGCACCTGAAGCTCAGGACTCCCAGCACCGATCCTGCCCTCCCGGGGCTGGGCTCGGTGCTGGGCTCGGTGCTGGGATCTCAGGCTTGCCCAGACACGTCCGGATATTTCTGGTCTCCCCCAGTCACCTTTATCTGAGAGGAAATACTTGGAATTCCTGAGTCGATCACAAGGACTCTGGTAGCAACAGCACCGCAGGGTCCCAACGGCACCGCAGGGTCCAAACATCACCGCAGGGTCCCAACGGCACCGCAGGGTCCAAACATCACCGCAGGGTCCCAACATCACCGCAGGGTCCAAACATCACCGCAGGGTCCCAACATCACCGCAGGGTCCCAACATCACCGCAGGGTCCAAACATCACCGCAGGGTCCCACTTGCCCACCCTGCTCACCCGTCATCCCTTCCACCCGGAGGACAGCACAGGACAGGACAGGACATGACCCAACAGCACAGCACAGGACAGGGCAGGACATGACCCAACAGCACAGCACAGGACAGGACAGGACATGGCCCAACAGCACAGCACAGGACAGGCTGTTCCACCACCAAACACCCGTCACATCCCCTTCCCCACTGTCCAAGAGGAGGATGCTCGGGGCCAGGCAATGAGGAAGCAGTGTGATGTCTACGTAAAGGCTTCCCCTGGCTTTGCCTCCCACCCGCCCCAGCACTGGGGAAGGAGTTTCCTCGCTGGAGCCTAAACCAGAGCTCACTGGGGAAGGGGGTCCCTGCGGATGCTTCTGCTGCGTGCAGGGACAGAGAAGCTGGAGATCAGGCTCCAGCAGTGCCCAGGACCCTGCAGAGCTGGGCAGGGAGGTTCTGCAGTGCCCGAGGCTCTGTGACACCTGCAGTGCCCCAGAAGGCAGCCCAGCACCGGGGGGACGCAGCAGCTCCAGTGACAAGGCTGCGGCGTTGGGGAGAGCTCTGACCCAAAGTGCTCTCACGAGCACGAGGTGCGGCTGAGCCGGCGCTCACATCCTGGAAAGGGGAAGGGAAACCCAACGGTTCAGCCCCCCCCCCCCCCCCGAGGTTCAGCTGCTTTCATTCACCAGCGCTGCCCAAGAGCTTCCCCAGCTGAGTGGAGGGGGAACCGTTGCTGGATCCCATTAAGGGAGAGCAGAGCAGGTTCCTCCTTCACCAACACTTGGGGAAAGAGGATTCAGTGACACTGACCCACGGAGGAAGCAGATGTTGCAATGAACATTGTCTGTCTCTTGTGAGCCAGGGGCAGAGCGGAAAGGGCAGATATGGGCTCTACTGGGACTATTCATAGAATGGTTTGGGTTGGAAGGGACCTTAAAGCGCATCCAGTTCCATCCAGGGACACCTTTCACTGGAGCAGCTTGCTCCAAGCCCCTGTGTCCAACCTGGCCTTGAGCACTGCCAGGGATGGGGCAGCCACAGCTTCTCTGGGCACCCTGTGCCAGCGCCTCAGCACCCTCACAGGGAAGAGCTTCTGCCTCAGAGCTCATCTCAGTCTCCCCTCGGGCAGGTTCAAGCCATTCCCCTTGGCCTGTCCCTACAGGCCCTTGTAAGGCTCTTCACAACGGCATCAGCTTCAGCCCAGAGACTGACCCCAGGAGCGACAGAGCTCCCCCAGCCCCAATAACACAGCCCTGGGGACAGGCACAGGAACCAGCTCAGCACACACAGGAGCCTCTCCCACCCACGGAGCCCAACGTGTTTTATCAGAACCCCCCCGTGGGATACAGCAGGATTGTTCCCACCCGCACCAACGGAGGTGCAGGAAGTTAAGCGCTTGCCCTAGAGCTGCCTGAGCCGCAGCATCTGCCTCCCAGCCCAGCACTCACCACGAGGCAACGTTTCACTTGCAAACAAGGCTGATGCTGTTCCACCTTTGCTGTGACTGCAGCTGTGCTCCTGCTGAGGGGTCTAACACTGCTCTCCAGCCAGGAGCGCTCCCCTGCATGACCAGCCA